CAGTAGCTATCTAGAGCTTACTGTATCTCGCTGGCTAACTAGCTAGCTTTTCGCCTGGCTAGCAAGTTATATAGATGAATAGATAAACTTGATTCATTTTTGGATTTTTTTTTACTCGTAAATATCTTAAAATTTTACCATGTTACCAGTCAGTGGCTCAACACCAGTAGTTGACAGAATTGACCACGCACACTGGCATTTTAAAAATGCAACACATTAAATCACAATACACAATAATATTGTCTGGCTGCTAGACTAACAAAAAAGTTGACAAAAAAAAAAAAAAATTAGAGCTGATGATGTTAATCCGTAAGTGTAAAGGAAACAAGCTGTCAGACTTTTCTGGAGAAGGAAGGAACAGACAAACTGCACCAGCTAGGTAGGCTTTTTAAATACTTTTAAACTCTCAGTTAACTCTCAGACTCTCAGTTAAATCTCAGACTCTAATTCAACCAATTACTTTTCAAGTAAAATATTTCACAGTGTAATAAATGGGAAAATGAAATAGACCTATTAGCTAGCTTTCTACCTGTTAGTTAGCTTGTCAGCAAGAAATACGATTCTTATGCTGTGCCTTTGGTGAATAATTCAAGGCTTACTTTTAGTTAGCAAGTTAATATACCATTAAAATCTCACTTACAGAAAGGACCACATGGAAATAGAACTCAAATACTAAAAAAATAGAGAGACCACAACAAGCCACCAACTTGTCTAGCTTTGTACCTGATTAGCTGGTGAGCTAATATGCTAAATACATAGATTTAAATTTGTTTCAGCCCTATTAAGGAGCATTTAAAAAGGTTCACATGACTTCACAAATGCAATTATTTATTCTGCATCTAGAGGACAACAGTGGTCCATTGACAATTTTGAATTTGAATAAGATATTGTATTTAGTGTATTTTTGAAAAAGGGCTCTACTAACACTTTTCTAGCTAGCTGTCGTACATGCAACTGTAGAAACAACACTGTCAGGCAGCCATTCCTCTTTTAAAAAATACAAACAAACAAAATGTTTACAACTGTAAGAACCGGAGGACATTTTTGTCGCATTTGTTTTTATTATTTATATTTTTTAATTACTGTGGAAATTAAACCTAGATTTACAAGTACAGTAAGATGGTGAGACAAATTGCTCAGGAAGTGCCACATTAACATGTACTGAGAGGGAATGAAGTAATCAGTAATGAAGCTGCCCTTTAACAAACGGGGCATGTGTGTGATCCTGTGGAACAAAAGACAAATTATATGAGTGGGTTAAAAGCTTTCAAAGGCTTTGGCTGTTAAAGCCTTGAACTTTTTCAACCACAGTGATGATGATACACAAATTAGTCCAACAGCTGTGATCATGACCGAATGTTTTCTGCCCTCAAATGTCATGGTTTTTTTCTCCTAATTGTTGGATTTTTGTTCTCTCCGTGTTAGGTTTCTGTGCTGATAAAAAACAATTGTTTAATATGTGCTGCCGTAACGATGACTCTCCTCTGTAGATGTGGTCGTGTGACGTAGAAGTCTTCAGCCAATTCTTTTGTTTCATGTAGAGCTCTGATATGCTGTTTAATTAGCTTTGGTAATTCCAAAGCTAAAAGGAGACAGGACTACAAAATAAAAATATAGCACTGTTTTATCTCATGACATCATAAACAACTCCAGCTTTTTATCTTCTTCCATCATTCCAATGTACAGCATTAAAACTAATTTTGCATGGGAACCTGTTGGCGAGCAGAGTAGACGAGTAGATGATGTCACATACATTCACTTTCTTTCATTTGTGTTGTTTTTTTTTGGGGGGGGAGCTTTTGGCCCTTAATTATGGCAGTGGAAGTCAGACTCTTCTAAGATTTTTATGTCCTAGATTATGATGCTACCACTGTGTTGGCATAGGTAAGTGACATACTGTAGGTACTGGTGCTCTGACTTATAGAGTTATGTACATCCACCGTAGGAATGGAATTTCAACATAGGTCCAGGACCCCTTGTAAAAATAAAAACCATTTTAGTGGGTTATAAAAGATAGATTTTGACAAGTGTTAAGCTTGATACTAAGGAAATGAAATTGTTGTCCTGAATGTTGTTCAAGCCTGTAGACTGTTACTGTAGACACGGTCAGTGCAGCCGTGCCTTGAAGCTCCAGGACTCACGCTGCCTTTTCCTAATTTAGCCGTGTTAGCTTCATCTCATGTCTCACATCAGTTACCCTCAGCAACAAGTCTGTGTGAACTCAACACCTCTTTCCCACCCCGCTCTCTGCCACTCTCCTTCCCCCCACTGCACTTGTATCCACTTGGATTTGGCATCTGATAATTTAATGAGGATCTGTGTTGGATAACTTATCCCTTCCGTGTCCGCTGGCAGCTGTGCCACTGTCAACAACAGCAGACGCTTCAATTTTGATATTTGATGAAGCCCGAACAGAGCCACAGACTAAAGGAAGAGTACATTAGAAGGATTAATGAGTCACAGCAGCATGATGAAGTAGAGTCACCTTCAGTTTTAATTAGTCCAGCAGCCAATTTCAAAACAGTGATATAAAATGGGGATCGACTATAATAGTGATATACAACAAAAGATATGAATAAATCAGACACTTCACAGCTTGTCGTCACTCACGTACCGACTGGATCCACGGCTTAAATGAATCATACATCATAGTTGAAACCGTACCGCCGCCTCATGTCAGTCTCAACAGCTGAAAGTTGACCGGTAGCATCGTCAATAGCAAGTGTCATATAAACCACATTTCCAGAAGCAGAACAATAAAAAACAAAACACCGTAAAATAAATCTGATTTGAATCGATCCATTTTGAAAGCTTTATATCAGACAAAAATGACAAACTCAATGACATCCAAAGATCATAAATCTGAAACAGAGGCAAGTTTACCCGATGTTTACATTTGTTTAATTATACATATATCGTTCAAACTAGGAAACCTAACTACTGTAGTTTTTTAAGGAGAGGTTTTTTTTTTCTGTATGGAAAACTGGAGCTGTTCAGCTCTCCGTGGTCTCCACTGACTGACGCTCCTCCTCCTGGCACACCATGAAGATGAGTTTGGGAACCTGGTGGCAATCTGCACAAAATGAATGCAAGCTTTTCTCTTTGCATGATCTTCACAGATCTGCATTGGTTCATGGCGTTTGCCATTAAACACAGCGATACACAATCGATGAATCCTTTTTAAATCAATTTTACCACTGATGTTGACAAACTGAAAATGATTTTCAGTTCTGTGCCAAAAAAGAGTATTTTCAAATACCCTTAAGACACAAAATGGCAACTGTATGCTGCTCCGTTTACACCCAGTGTTCTGATCTTACCAGGGAAATGTATTTTAGTTCAATAAATATAATGCAAGTTGTCCAAATGACCAAATTAGTCTGTTGCTATTTTTTTTTTTTTTTTTAGAAATGTCCTCAAAGTGGGACAGGTTTGTACCTGATGTGATTGTCTATTGAAACTTTCAATAGGGGGCAGTGAATGACTCTTTTTTTCCCTTGAAATTAACAATATTATTTTAAATGAATAAAAGACACTGGGTGTTAAACCAATGTCTGAATACTAAATAGAGACGTCTCCAGGGATTTCTCTGTGATCACTATACACTTTCATTTTTGGCACCAGATCAGACACGCATGCCTCATCTTCAACAACGTCATGCATGGATCTGGTTTCTGGAGACTCGAACCAAATCAAAAGAGAAACATGATAAAACTTTTACACTTTTACAAATGTAACTGTACACGTAGTAACTTTGAATGAAACTCATTTATATACAATATAAAATTGCTTTTTCAACTCTCCTTTAGAGTCTTTCAGAGCGGACGGATGGTTCAGGGCATATAGGAAAAGCGCAAAAAAAAAAAACAAAGTTAAGAAATTACAACAAATACGACACAGAAACCTAAAAGTTAAGAGGAGAGAAACGATTTAAAAATGTGGTGGTGCATAGAAAAAAAAGGAAAGTGAACTTCGATAAAAGACAACAAAACAAATATTAACAACAACGACTATTGAGTTCACATTTTTACCCTCTTTGTTTCTACGCTGTGGTTGTTGTGATGATTCAACTCTCAGAGTCATCTGTTTCTCTGACAGCTTCTGGAAATTTTTACGGTGAAAAAAGCTGAACGCAGCCCCCTGCTGTTATGTAAAACAGCAGCCAGTTCTCTTTTCTACGAACCTTTATTCTCCTTGTTATACCTCTTACTCCCCCCAGCCCTCACTCCCTCCACATTCTGAAGGCATTCAGGTGAGTTTCTCTATAGTTCATATGAAATGCCCAGCGCTCCCTATGCAATATTCTTGGCTGCATTCTCATTCAGCTTGTCCATGTAGTTCCTAAGGTCCTTTGAGTCTCCCAGCTCTATGTCCGGACATACCCATTTTATCTCACTAGTCTGCACTAGTGCTAATGGGCTGAGCCCGGGACACCCATTACTGGACTTGACATTGGAAAAGGTGGTGAACTTCACTCTCTTCCTCTTTGTCGTGGGCGAGTTGAGCGACTCCGTCTTGTGATCCCGACTGCTGGAGCTACATCCACCCGCGGCAGTATTACCCCGCTGGACACCACCGTTCAGCAGCTGGCTTCCTTCCTCCAGGCTGCCGCCGCCGAGCTCTTCTTGCTGCTGCTGCTGGCTCTGCCTCTTCTGGCGGCTGCGAGAGACACA